TTGGCCTGAGGTGAGACCTGGTGGTTCTTTCCTGCCAGGAGTCAACGCTCAGAACTCTAAGTACTTCCCCCAGAAAAGGAGGGTCAAGGGAGCAGGGATTCCCATGGCTTCGCAGAGAGTTGCCTAGGGCTCCTATCCCCCACCCCCACAAGGGAAAGCCACCCTCCAATCTCCAAGAACAAGCCGGCTCCGGGTCCACCTCCTGGGGGTTCCCTAGAGAAGTCACTCTTCTCAGAGCACCTGAGAAGAGTGCTCAGGCACTCTTCTCAGCCGTGGCCTGGTGAGCGCAGACCCCAGAGAAGGACTGTGACCAGAGTCACACGGCGAAGAGGCAGAGGACTTGGGAACCAAATCTGAAAGGGCCTGATACCCCTTGTCACTTGCTTTTCCCACTCTTCCAGGGTCTTCTGAATGTGCTCTCTAAGTTTCTGGAGCATTCTGCCAAGAGGAGAATAGTAACATTATCCTTTCTAGTATTGCAACATCTGCCCTCCTAAGGGCGTGTCCGGACGTCTGGAGGAGGCTTATGTTCCCAGATGCATTATCTCTCTAAGCAATCTATCATTTTTTTGTCATAAACATACAGTTTTTTTTCCCTTTTTTATGGTGTATAGTTGCTTTACAATGTTGTGTTAGCTTCTGCCGTACAGCGAAGTGAATCAGCTGTGTGTATATAAACATCCTCTTGGATTTTTGGATTTTCTTGCCATTTAGGTCACCACAGAACACTGGGTAGGACTCTCTCTGCTATACAGTAGGTTCTCGTTAGTTGTCTATTTTATACATAGTAGTGATTATATGTCAATCCCAATCTCCCAATCCACCTCACCACCCCTTCCCACTTAGTATCCATACTTTTGTTCTCTACGCCCGGGTCTCTATTTCTGCTTTGCAAATAAGTTTATCTATACCATTTTTCTAGATTCCACATATATGCATTAAGATATATTTATTTTTCTCTTTCTGACTGACATCATTCTGTGTGACCATCTCTTGGTCCATCCACATCTCAGCAAATGGCATGATTTTGTTCCTTTTATGATTGAGTAATATTCCATTGTACATATGTTCCACCTCTTCTTTATCCATCCCTCTGTTGGTGTACGTTTAGGTTGCATTGCAATTTGCCGATTTTTGAAAACAAAAGTGGTACTTTTAGGATGTAGTTTGGAATTTGAGCCCAGGAGTCAGGTGGCTGCATCTATGTTCCCTCATGTTACCACCAGCGCAGGCTTCCAGAGGGCTTTCTGAAAACTTCAGTTTCCTCCTCTGCGTAGGGGGATAGACACACATACCTCATGGGGCTGTTGGGAGAATTAAATGAGATTATGCATGTTAATTGTTTAGCACATGCCTGGAATATAGTAAATTTGAAAAAATGGAACCTACTGTTACTCAGTCTTCTACAGCACCTACCATGAGGTTGAGTATATAGGAGATCTTTAATACTATTTTTTTCTTAATTTTTAAAGTTTTTATTTTTTACTGACGTATAGTTGATTTACAATGTTTCAGGTGTACAGCAAAGTGATTCAGTTACACGTGTGTGTGTGTGCGTGTGTGTGCATTTGTGCTCAGTCATGTCTGAGTCTTTCGACCCCCTGCATGAAGACTAGGCGTCTATGATTCTAGACTCTGGGATTCATTTGTCATTTCATGAAGTCTCATTGAGGTGGAATCTGTTCGAAGTCTTGTGCTGCATGCTGTGGACCCGAAAGAATCTTCAAGGAGCCCTCCGTCTGGTGAGGAAAGCAGAGAGACCAGACGCTGTATGACAAACAGTGAGAAAGGGGCCCTGGGGTCCACAGCCAGTGTGGCCAAGGAATAATTCATTTTGCAGAGAGGACAGAAAAGCCAACTGGGAATAGCAGGCAGAGGCCAGGCCGGAAGCCAGCCAGCCCGCAGGACCCCTCAGTCATGTGACCTTGGGCAAGTCCTCCAACCTCTCTGAGCCTCTTCTCACTTGTACAATAGGGCCACTGTTCCCTATCCCAAGGGGACTGTTGGAAGGCTGAGAAACACTGCATGTGAAGGATCACAGACTATATACAGGGCTCATTTTTTTTTATTATTATTTCTTAGACAAAGTGACTCCTGATGCATGTTGGAGGAGAGCAGGAACACATCACGCAGACCAGGAGGGAAAAGAGGCCAAGCGGAGAGCGACTGCTGCATGTGCAGAGGTCCAGAGGCCAACGGCGCTGCTGAGGCCGTTAGCAAGAGCCGTAAAGGCCAAGCCAGCGAGCTCGGACTTGATTCTGGGGGCACTGAGGAGGTCATAGGAGGTTTTCAAGCAGAGGAGGGACAGGATCAATACGTGGACTAGGAAGATGTAGCCTGTGGCCACAGTGCACAAGAATCGGTGAAGAGGCTCAGGGAACACTGGCTTCTGGACCATAAGTGCCACCCATGGTGAGGATATTGGTACATAGTACTCCCCAGTCCAGCCCATGGAGGGCAGCATGCACAGGGATGGGGAGCAGGCCCTGCTACTCTGCCGGAAGCTCTTGAATACAACATGTTGCACATAAACACAGCCTCAGTCATTTCTTCATTCAGCACATCCTCACTGAGCATCTGCTGTCTCAGGCACTCTTTTTTTAAATCAAACTCTATTTTATTTTTAATTCGTATTTGGCTGTGCTGGGTGTTTGTTGCTGCTCATGGGCTTTCTCTAGTTGTGGCAAGCAGGGGCTATTCTCTAGTTGCTGTGCGTGGGCTTCTCCTTGCAGTGGCTTCTCTTGTTGCAGAGCACAGACCCGAGAGCACATGGGCTAGCTGCCCTGCAGCATGTGGAATCTTCCCAGACCGGGGATGGAACCGTGTCCCCTGAATTGGCAAGTGGATTCACCACGGGACCACCAGGAAGTCCTCCCAGGCACTGTCTTGATGCTGGAGATTCATCAGTGAACCAGGCAAGGTCCCTGCCCTCCTAGAACTCATGTTTTGGTGGGGAGATGGGTACCCATTAAGTGAATAAATGTCTAATAATGTCAGGATCACAGCACTAAAAGGAATGGCAATCGTTACAACCCAGCTGAGAGGGGGAAATGTAGGATTCCCATACCCACCTAGGAAAGACAGCCAGGATTAAAACTGGAGACTGTATGGCTTCAAGCCCACAGCAGTGAAAGCATAGAGTCCTAACCACTCGACTGCCAGGGAATTCCCAAAACTGCCTCTTTTTGAAGAGCTTATGTGTAAGGTAGGGCTTCCCTTGTGGCTCAGCTAGTAAAGAATCCACCTGCAATACAGAAGACCTGGGTTTGATCCCTGGGTTGGGAAGATCCCCTGGAGAAGGGGACGGCTCCTCACTCCAGTATTCTGGCCTGGAGAATTCCATGGACTGTATAGTCCATGGGCGTCACAGAGTCAGACACGACTGAGTGACTTTCACTTTCACTCTGTGGAAGGTACACCTTTAGTTACTAGTATCTCCCTTGAGCCATGAGGCCTACTCACTCATTACTGATCCCACAAAAAAATCATTGAGCTCCTATAGGCCCAGCACGGTTCTGGATGCTGCAGATTATAACAATGAGCTGGACAAGCACATTTACAGCCTGTCAGGGAAGTCTGATGCTAAACAAATACACAGAGCTAGTTGCAATTTATAGTCACAATTGTTATAAGAGTTACAAATAAGTAGCAGGTGTTTTGAATTGGAGAGAGTCTGAACTTGGTCTCCAGAGAAAGTAACATTTACCTTAAGACCTAAAATCTGAGAGTTTGTTAGACAAAGATTGAGGGAAGAGAGTTTCAGGTGAAGGGAATAGCATATGCCAAGGCTTGGAGAAGCAAAGGACTCTGGCACATTTGCGGAACTGAAAGGACAATGTAGCTGGAACTCAGAGACAGAATTGGGGCAGGATGTGGTACAAGACAAGGCTGGTGTGGTCCACAGGGGCAGAGCAGCAGGGCCCTCCCAGCCACGTGAAAGGCAAGTGAACGGTTCCAGGCTCGGCTTGGCCTCCAACGCCAGCCCACACCACCTTGCATGTACTCTTCTGGGTCAAGTCCCTTGACCCCAGAATGACTCTCTGCCCATGACATTCCCTTCAGTAAAGAATTTTCCCAACCATTACAAGTGTCTCTTGTCATCAATCCCCAAGAAATTCAGTTTCTGGGGGACCAAATCCTAGCTCTCCCAGGAAGTATTTGGCAAGGTTTCAGACACATCAGGCTTCCCTGCTGGCTCAGATGGTAAAGAATCTCCCCTCAATGCGGGAAGCCTGAGTTCACTCCCTGGGTCAGGAAGATCCCCTGGAGAAGGGAATGGCTGTCGGGTGGGCTGCAGTCCATGGGGTCGTAAAGTGTCGGACACAAATGAGCAACTAACACACTTTTTTCAGGCACCATCAGGTAGCCCATGTTATGTTGGAATATTTACAACGTGGACAAAGGAGTGTTATCATCCCCATTTTGTAGATCAGGAAACTGAGGCTCAAAGAGAGAAAACACACATGGTTACCTCTACCCTCTTTTTGACACGTCATTTCTGCCCAGTTTGTGGAATTTGGGAAGCTACCTGGTTCTGGCTGTTAGGGTTCTGATTCTATGACATGTGAGTGGGGATGCTAAGATTTAGGGAAATATGGAGATTCCAGGGCTCTAAAATTCCATGATACAAAGCCCTGATACCCCAGTAAACCAGGTTCCTGATCTGTCTAGCTAGTCCAAGCCTAGAGAGGCAGGCACCATCCATGAGCCCTGTTCCACTGGTCTCCTGGATCACTCCTCAGAGATCAGCCAGAGAATGCGATCTGGACGCCCCCCCTCATAGATCAGCCAAAGGATGCGATCTGGGCGCCCCCCGATGGCCAGGAGAGGATGGGAAGGCGCAGGGTTGTCGGAAGTCTTAACCCAGGGCAACGTTCTGGGGCAGAGACAGGAATTGGGAGAAGGCGGGGAGTTTCTGGTCCCGCCCCAGAGCAGGCTTTCCAAACTGCAGACACCCGGAGTGAGCGGAAGTGGCGGCTGCAGCGGAGGACCCCGGAGACATGGGGTGCACACGCGATGCCATCCTGGATGCGCTAGAGAACCTGACTGCAGACGAGTTCAAAAAGTTCAAGATGAAGCTGCTTTCAGTGCCGCTGCGGGAAGGCTTTGGACGCATCCCCCGGGGGACCCTGCTGCCCCTGGACGCCGTGGACCTCACCGACAAGCTCGTGAGTTACTACCTGGAGGCTTACGGCGCCGAACTCACGGCGCTTGTGCTTCGCGACATGGGCATGCAGGAGGTGGCAGAGCAGCTGCAGGAGGCCATGAGCAAGGGTGAGCGCGCCCCCGGCCACACTCCCCGAGGTCTAGGCCAGTCTCCCCTCATCTGCACCCTCCTCCCAGCCCCAACTTTTGCCTCTCCTGGCGCTTTCACTTCCTGTTCCTCCTACCCCTTCATAAAAGCTTCTCCTGCTAGGGAGGCTTCCCTTCCCGCCCTGGGTACTGACCTTGGCTTCCGGGCCGAGACTTCAGAAAGACTTGGAGACACCATTGAACATTTTCTTACAGGCCCTAGAAACGTGCCAGCCGAGGTCAGGGCCCCTCTCCAGAAGACAGCCAAGCCAGGTAAGGCCTTCAATCCCTGACCTCACCCACCTGGGCACCTCGCCATCTCTGCCCCACCGCACCCCTGCACAGCCTAAATCTGTTGTCAAGGCCAAGAGCATTCAGGGCGTGCAAAGTTAGGCCAACTCTTCCCACTCACCTACTCACACTCCTGGGGCCAAGTCTGGCTGAAAAGGAGGTAAGGTTAAGCGCATCCCACTCTATGTAGGTCCTGTTGAGCTCTGCCCCTTGGGGTTGCATTCAAGGCAATTTGGAGGAAAAGTGTTCAAGAGGGACAGACAGGCTCCAGTGCCCACCCTGGGTGCCAGCTTTGCCCCTCTCCTCCCTCTTGCCCCAGGACCACACTTTGTGGACCAGCATCGGGCAGCACTCATTGCACGGGTCACAGTCGTGGATGGGGTGCTGGATGCCCTGTACGGGAAGGTCCTGACAGAGGGTCAGTACCAGGCAGTGCGGGCGGAGCGCACCAGTTCGGAGAAGATGAGGAAGCTCTTCAGCTTTGCTCCAGCCTGGAACCTGGCCTGCAAGGATCTGCTCCTCCAGGCCCTGAGAGACAACCAGCCCTACCTGGTGGACGACCTGGAGCAGAGCTAAGGCGCCTTCCCCAGCAATGGCTCCCACATACCACCCCTGGCTGTTCCAGCCAGCTTATCTGGAGTCTCTGGTTTTCTCATACACAATACATGAAAATCCCACTTGTACGTGGTGTGTTTTCCTACTTGCAGCCTGGAAGCACATGTGGGCCTGAGCTACATATCCAAGCGCAGGGCAGCAAGCTCCCCAAACACTTCACCCTTCCTGCCTCAGTCACATGGAATAGTCCCTCACTCACCATTTGGTGGCTCCTTCGATGCTACCCTAAAGGGTCTGCCCTTGAGACGTGTGAACCGTGAGTTAACCTTGTGGCCAAGGTCTAAAAATTAAAACAGGTATGAACAAAGGGCCTGGAATTGTGGGGGGCCGGATTTGACAAGGAAGTCTGGCATCCCGCAGTCCGTGGGGTCACCAAGAGTCAGACACAACTAGGGACTGAACAAGATCTGACAGATGCATTTAGAAACAGACTGGTCTACAAAGCTTCTCTTTCATTTTTCATAGGAAAAAAACTGCAAAATTAGAGCCATTTTCAGAAGTGATGAGTATCGTCTAAACAGAACACAAAGCAAGTAGTCCTAGGGTTCCTTCAGGCACAGACACCAGTGGGCTTGGCTGCTCCCTCCCACCCCCTGCCAAAAGGGATTATAGGTTACACTTTGCCCAGAAAACACGCCAAACACAAAAGCAAAACTTCAGGAAATGACTTCCAGCAGCTGTTTCTTCTCTTGATGAAATTGTGTCAACAAAAGAAAATAGTATTTATTTCTAGAAAACAGCACCTTAAGGAGTCTTTCCAGAGGCTGTTACGGAACCAGCATCCTAAGACCACATCCTGGGTACACTTTGCACCCCAATTCTTTCTGGCTTGGAGGGGTGGATGCAAAGCAACAGGCAGACACCAAAGTCAGATACTCCATACACAGGAGTCAGATCATCAGACTTGGGGATCCAGGTATGACAGTCCAGGGTGTGCCGTTCACAATGATACACCAGCGCAGAATGAACAAAGCCATATGAATAGGCTTCACTTGGAATACCCTCCCTAGACACAAGAACTAGTAAATGCAGTGTTTATTTTCCACGCCCACCCCACCCCCACCACACACACACACACAGTCTGTGAAACACAGTCTGTTTCCCTACTCTGATTGCCGAATCACTAGAGCAACAGGAGAAAACAAGTGGTTTGCTGTAGGAGGACGCTACCAAGAAGCTAAGCTAATGACCACTGTCAAGGCTATGCAGTCACGTGAGATTGCTCCTAATGCTACTTAGGACTCCAAGAGGAAAGCCGAGCTTCCCCCAGTGTCCCCCAGTCCCAACACTCAGGACCCCATGGACTCATCTTCTGTCGCTAGCCACCCCATAAAATGAATGCAGGTGCTCCCCATTCCACCTCAGCCCATTTCTGCCAAGTCTTCTTAAATCTATAAACCAAGCCTTATTCAACCTGAGACGTGTGTTCACTTATGTTCTACAAGGACCTTACCATTTCCCAAACCGGAAGTTGTCTTCCTTTTACTATGCCTGTACCCTGACATATGCCAACAGCCACAGCCTAACCAGAAAACAAGAAACCCTACCATGTTCCGTAAGGCCCAGATGTAGTCATTCTTCCAGCTTACATCCAAACACCTTCCTTTTCAACTTCACTGCCCCCATCTGGTTTATTCCTTCATGTCTTACCCACAGCAGGCCTCCTGACCTCCCTGCTTCTAGTCAAACACCGTCCAGGGCCTGAGAGATCAAAACTGATGATGGAATGGACTCCCTCCCAACACTAGGACACCGGAGCCCGCCCTCCAGCCTGACCCTGACCGACCCCATCCAAGCTCTCCTACCTTTGTCACATACCCCCGGATCCCAACACTGCTTCCTCACGCTCCATGCCCTACCTAGCACACGCTGGTCCCTTAGACCTGGACACCTTGAAACCACCCCCCAGTCCCAGCATGCCCACAGGCGGCCTTCCTCTGGGCTCCAGTGACGCGCCCACCTAGTGTCCCTGTGGTAGAGCGAACCAGTCATATTTCTACACCGGACTCCCCCATTACAGCCAGCTTCCCCCAAAAGGCATCTTTTCAACCTGTGTCATGCTTTGAATTTGAAAAATAAAAAGCAGTTACTGTGTATGTCTAGTGTCTAATAGGTAGTTTTTTTTTTTTAAGACTTCATAGAAACTTAATGTTTCGGAGATGGAGCCATAGCTAACACTTCCCTGCACAGCAGATGCTCAGAGCAGCTACAAAATCCAGTGCAGGCCTGAGGCAAGACAGGTTCTAAGAAACGGCTCCCCTAAGTTGAAAGATTTCTTGGGGGCTTTATTTTTCCTTTTTATTGGGGTGGGGAGGGAGGGAGAGTAGGGTGAGGCTCAGAGTTCTACCAGCCACAGCATACTGGTTAAGGACACTTGTACAGCCAAACAATATTCAAATCTCTGGTCCACCTCACTCACCAGTTATGAAACTTAAGGCCAGTTTGTACCTCAGCATCTCCAGCTATAAAGTAAGGCTAACAGGACATAATTCATCACCTAGCAGCAACTGGCCCACAAAGAGCACCCATTAGTGTCAACAGTGATCTCCAGGATACTTCTGTTCCTAGTTCAATGGCTTCAAAAAGCACCTGAAAAAATGGACATTTTCTGCCCAAACCTCTAAGCATCACAAGACTGAAAAAAGAGCAAACGGAACAAATAGTCTATGTTCGCTGGGCCTGTGCTAACTAGAAAAACCCATTTGCAGGGCCCAGCCTTCCCTGAGTGATCTTTTTCTTGGGTCCTGGCTCAAACTGTCTACAGAAAAAGTTTTATACAAAATCAAGTTCCCCTTCACAGAGAAGGGGGAGGGGAGGGTGGGATGAGCAGATGAGTCCATGCAGAACTTCAGAGTCTGGCTCTAAGAGTGTGCTGCTCAAACAGCACCATCAACATCGCTAGAGAACTTGTGCCCCACGGGGACCTACAAGCTGAATCAGAACCCACTGCCAAGTGATTCAGGTGCATATCCAACTTAAGACATACATTGCCAGAGAGGATTTTGCTTTGCCACCTTGGTCAGACTGCCAAGGTTTGCAGAAGCAAGCCTTCCTCGTGGCTCCGATGGTAAAGAATCTGTCTGCAACACAGGAGACCCAGGTTTGATCCCTCGGTCAGGAAGATTCCCTGGATAAGGAAACGGCAACCCACTCCACAATTCTTGCCTGGAGAATCCCAATGGACAGAGGAGCCTAGCTGGCTACAGTCCATGGGGTTGCAGAGGTCACAAACTACTGAGCAACTACAGTCACTTTTTTCCTTCCCATGTAGGGATTTGGCTTGCTGGTGGCTCAGACAGCAAAAAATCTGCCTGCAATGTGGGAGACCTGGGTTTGATACCTGGGTCGGGAAGATCCCCTAGAGAAGAGAATGGCTGCCCACTCCAGTGGGCTTCCCTGGTAGCTCAGCTGATAAAAAAATCCACCTGCACTGGAGACCCCGGTTCAATTCCTGGGTTGGGAAGATGACCTGCAGGACGGAACAGCTACCCACTCCAGTATTCTTGCCTGGAGAATAGCCATGGGCAGAGGAGCCTGGCAGGGTACAGTCCATGGGGTCGCCAAGAGTCGGACACGACTGAACAACTAAGCATACATATGCCCATTCCAATCTTGCCTGGAGAAGTCCACAGAGAAGCCTGGTGGGTTACACCCCATGGGGTCAGAGTCTGACAGGACTGACAGACTAACACTTTTCACTTTCATTCAGGCAGAGAGCACACAGGATGGGACCACTCCCCTTCTAATTCTGGGAAGCAAAATACCCATGGCTGACGTATGGCAAAATCCATTACAATATTGCAATAATCCTCCAATTAAATTAATTTTTAAAAAATAGCCATCAGGCTAACTCTAAGACAAGTTCTTAACGCTGAGCGGGCTGCACTGCAGAGCCCCAAGGACCCTGCGGGAACAGCTACAGGGAGGCAGCGCGGATGCAACACTGCCCCCCCCCCCCGTGGCACACCTGCAGGACACGGTCTGGACAGCCTGGCTCCCGGCTCCCGTTCCCTCTTCTTCCCCCTCGGCAGTCTCCATCCAGAACCACCTGAGCTTGGCTTCCCGCTACACACAGCAATCTCCAATCAGACCCCACAGTCCCAGCTCCTCCTCTGTCTCCAGTCTCCATGTTGGTGGCTCTCAATCGTCCTTCCTGTTCAAAGAACCCTCCTCACTAGCACCATTACCCCGATTTAAGGTTAGGACCACAATCCAACAGAGAACACAATCCATCCACAGAGCACTGTTCCCAGACCCAATCTCATGATACATCTGTTCCTGCCGCTAGTGTTCAGAAGTTTTTAACCAACAAGGACCGACCTATGTATAGTAGAGGGAACTCTGCTCAAAATTATGCCCCAGCCTGGATAAGAGGGAAGTTTACAAGAGAATGGATACATGCATATGTGTGGCTGGGTTGCTCTGTTGTGTACCTAGAATTGAAGCTATACTTCAATATAAAAAAATATAAGCAATTTTAGATTCAATGGTCTCCTAAAACTCTAACAGCCAACACCATAAGAATTAGGAGCCAAACAACTTCTACAAGCCCAGAAGTCAAACTTGATGGGAAGTTCCACCTGACACTACTTCCTCAACTCTTACACACCCAGCAGCATGATCACTGCACGGGGGAGGTGAACGAGATTTTTGTGGAAACCTGTTGTCTAAAATTACCACCACAAAAAGCTAAAGATGGAGAGTCAAAGTTTTGAGGGCCCAAAGGTAGGAGAGGTATCAAGAGTTCTAGAAAGGCTGGAGCAGAATGGCTATGATTGACCTAAACTGAGCCTCTGAAACTACAGGCAGGCAAGACCTGGTAGAAAACCCCTGGGAGGGACTTTCCTGGCAGTCCAGTGGTTAAGACGCCATGCTTTCACTGCAGGAGGCACATGTTCGATTACAGGTCAGGGAACGAAGATCCGGCACGACTCATGGTGCAGCCAGATAAATTCAATTAAAAAATTTTATTAAACCCTGATGGATGATTGATTCAATGACCTAACCTCTGCACTATTATCTGAGCTACTGAAATCACATACTGCCCCAGTACATGATGTGGGGCAAAGGTGAAAAATGAGAAATCAGGCGGTGGCAATCAGACCTGCAGCACACTTCTCCCCACCCACCCGTAACATTCTCCCCCGGCTTCTTCCTAAGTTAGCCTGTCCCAATTCAAAAATGCCAGATGCCTAGTGCTTCAAGACTGCAGGACATTTTCAGTAACTATATTCTTTAGAACTCAAAAGACCAGCCTACAATCCTCATCAGGTAAACATGACTGGCTATCAACTGGCCAGGTGCTGCTTAAGTCCAAACCCCTCAGGGTCTATTTTTTCAACAAAGGATGAAAGGATGAACTGGCCCCAGAATCAACCACCAAAACATTCCCTCAGTTGCTTGTCTTCACCCACCTCTACCCAGCCTCCTGAAAGTCCCCCAAACTAATCTACTCACTAGACACTTGGGACTCTTTATTTGACCACGTCAGGTCTTAGTTGTGGCACACAGGACCTTCGTTATCACATGTGGGTCTTATTTCCTGACCAGGGACCAAACTCAAGCCCCTTGCACCAGGAATGCACAGTCCTTAACCACTGGAAACCCAGGACCTTATTTTCTTTTACTGAAGGGTGAGGCCGATTACTGAAGCCTTTTTAAGGACAAGAACTAAATGCTAATAATCCCACTTACTCCCAGAGCTTGGGTGAGACCCAACTCACCTCTAACAGCAGGGATAAAGGAACCACAATCTAACCCTAACACCAGAGCCCTTCCAGGTGAAACACCCATAAACCTCTCAGACGTGGTTTGTGCCATTCAAACCAAACATCATTTTAAGATAGATCAAAAGCAGAAGAGGGCAGAACCACCACTGCCATTTCCTTGGCTCTAAATCTGAGGGCTTCTCATAAGTACCAAGTTCCACAAGCCAAATAAAAGCACTGCCTGGAGAACCTCAGCCATTCTCCACCTCCTCTCAACAGAACACCTCCACTCAGCAGGGAGGGATGCTGAGTGGACAAAGCCACAGCCTCTGTCTCAAATCACCAGAGGTTTGAGGATGAATCAACTCTTAAACGCAACAATTTCAGAAAAAGAAAAGCACTTCCCACAAGGGGTCCCAGTCACTCTGATGAGCTGTGCTTCTGACAATAAAGAACACTGTTTATTGTTGGTTATGATTTTAAGTTCTATGTCTGCTTGGCAAGAATGGGCAAGTTTCCTAAATTCAAGTTTTGAGTTGAAAGGGTAGTTTTCTGGGGTCAGGAAAGGTGTCAGGTTAAGGGGCACTATCAAGGTGGCAACTCATCCGCCCAACCCCTTCCCTTTCTCAAAATACCAAAGACTTTTGAGTACTGGCAGATGTGAATGTGACCTAATTACACCACTGTCTCAGCAGACAATACCCAGAGCCCCACCTTCAGGAAAACTAGTGGGGAGGAAGCCCACTCACTGAAATATCAAAAGAATTGCCTTATCTTACTTTTCCAGCTACCTTTCCCTTTTACCATCTTATCTCATTCCCAAGTCTTTTTCCCTAAAATTCAGCATCCTAAGTCAGGTCTAAGCAAAAAATGTTTAGGATAGGAATGTTTCAGAAAGAAATGCCAAGAAATGAAAATAAAGTTGGAAGATGACAGGGACTGCATCCTGGCATTGACCATTTCCTGACTGTGAGAGCCACAGAACCCAGACACTTCGTTCTCCACCTATGAAAACTTGTGAGCAAGGCCACAGCGTATCTGCCATTAGTTAGGTGCTCAGCTTCTCCCCTTCCTGGAGAAAAAAACCCAACTGGTTAACTACATGATCTAATCAGGGTCAATCAAGCTTGAATAACACCCTGGAAGTTTGTTTGATCCCCACCCTTAGAAAAGTGCCAGAACTCCTTGAAAGGAACAAAACTGCTACAAATAAGCCCACAAAATTCAGCACATCAACAAGGTAGAAGAAAAATTTCCACATGGCTGACAAAAATCAGGGGCAACACATGATCTTTTTCATTTACCCCTTTCATTCATCCAATTTTTACTGTAACAGAGGAAGTTTAATCTCTACTTTCAAAGATACACTTGACCTTTGCTCCCCAACCAAGTATCAAACACTTTATTCTAGTTCCTGCTGAGCGGGAACAAATTGTTCCAGTTCCCACAAAGCAGGTTAGGTCGGTTGATCTGAATAGAGCAAAACTCCCCACGTTCTTGACCTGGACATCCACACTCCAGGAGAGTGAAGAGGGGGAAAAGGAAGAAAATTTAACTAAAATGATGGTTTTTAATGGGAACCAGAGGTATGGTTACAGTTACATAGTCCGACACAAAAAACCCGTGGGTGATCAGGAGGTGGAAGGTTACAAAATAATGAGGGTAGTAACACTGGGTACAGGAAGAAAGCTGCTCCAAGGCCTCAGGAGCCAGGCTAGTACGGCCTCTCCCTGCGATCCTGTCTGTGCTCACCCCTGCAAGAAAGAGCATCCATGAGGTCTGGGTTCCAACCTCTCTACCCACCCACCCCCAAAACCCGATCTGCCCTGCTACCCACCCCAAGAGACAGCTCGTCTCCCTAGGCAGAGTGCACATGGGCATCCACAGACTAGCTCCCCCAGATAATTTTCCTTCCCTCACTTCCAACCCAAGCATTAAGTCTCAGCTTTCCAATCCCGCCCTCAAAATGAAACCACATTCCCCAAACCCTGCAATCCCATGGAATCTGGTCAACCGCTCTAGTTTCCTTTCAATTTAGTCTTACTTACCTGGAGTCCATCTTGCCAGGGCCGAAACCACCTCTGTCCCCACCACCCCGGCCCCCTCGGAAGCCCCCACGGTCCCCTCCTCGGCCTCGGTAGCCGCCCCGATCATAGCCTCCTCTGCCACCACGCCGATCATCTCCGTAGTTTCCCCCTATAAAAAGAGAAACATGATCCAACCCTCTATCACATCCCCAGACTCCTCCTCCCGCCCCTTGTCTAGCCGCCCTGCAGATCCCAACAGCAGCTCCGCCTCTTCCTTACCCATGTGAGAACCTCCTGGTCCCCCTCCTGGGCCATCTGGTTTAGGGGCCTTACACTGGTTACATTCATTCCTCCAAGAGAAGTTCATGTTCTCACAGGTACTGAGGAAAATAAGACAATGTGTGTTGGCGGGGGTGGAGAGGAGGGGTGGAAATGGCCAAGACCTAGAATTATCAAGATTCCAGTGACCCTAGGGATACGTGAGGAGAATGAGGCCTCGGAAAAGCCAAGAGGCTTGTTTCTCAGGAGCAGAGAAAAAGACTGAAGGTTACTGAGCCCAGTCTAGATGACTCCTGGCCAAGCCTGTCCCTGTCAGCGTAGCTTTGACATTAGTCAGAAACTACAAACTCTGTCGTTAACATCAAGGTGGTGCTAGTGGTAAAGAACCTGCCTGCTAATGCAAGAGACAGAAGAGGCTTGGGTTTGATCCCTGGGGAAGGGAATGGCAATCCACTCCAGCATTCTCGCCTAGAGAACCTAGAGAACCATGGGGTTCTCCCCATGGACAGAGGAGCCTGGCAATCTACAGTCCATGGGGTTGCAGAGAGTCAGATAGGACTGAAGCAACTTGGCACATACTTTAACATCAAGGGCACACGTACCAGTGGGCTGAGAAAAAAATGAAGCCGTTTCACTCACGGATTAGGACACTTCCAATCCCCTGCTCGCTGCTGTCCTCCGCCCCCGCCGCCACCACTGGGGAATCCTCCTCTGCCACCGCCGCCGCTGCCACCACCTCCATAGCCTCCACGGCCCATGGGTCCTAGAACAGAGCCAAGAACAGGTCTGCTCCCCTTCCAAGTGTGGCCAACGTCTTTCCCAAACAAGCCCTTACCATCCTCCTTCCCCCTTCTCTCCCCATCACTTCTTTATAGCAGTAGAAATAGCTCCTCACCTCCTCGCCCTCGGCCTCCACGACCATTGCCACCACCCCGATTGAAGTCTGCTCGCCGAGTAGCAAATGAGACCTTGATAGGATTCCCAGAGAATTCTTTACCTAAAGAAATAAAGGAGGTATAAAAGAGACTTCTTATTAACACCTATGGCCTGTGGGTCCAAGAGTACACCTGGTACAATCAAGAGAAGACTGCCTTCTTACAAATGTTTACAATCTCATGAGACATAAGCAAATGTAAGACTACACCAACAGTGTAGTGCTGTTAAGTCTTCGAAGACTCAAAGAAATCCTCAAAACCCGTTTCCCCAAGCTAGATGCCCTCTCCCCCAGCCTCCTCAGACTTACCATCAAACCAGTCAATAGCTGCTTTGGCGGAAGGTGGGTCATCAAATGATACCGTGGCCTCTCCCTTCAGTTTGCCTGTTTCCCTGTCTGTGTACAGATTAATCATGGGCTGTCCTGTTTTCTTATTTGTCTGAAGAAAGCAGCATGAGATCACATCAGTCTTAAGAGAATACAGCACTATCAAAACCATACCTTCCTATTTCACACGTAACTTGAAAGAAAGCCACTGATTGTTAACGGCTTCTCCCTTCAATATTAAATGATAAAGATTACAGACTACAAATTCAAAAGTCTTAATCACTTTTTTAACCAATTGTGCCTTTTTGTGTTAAAATGTGATTCCCTTTGGACTGGCAACAGTTAATGCTTTTTCCTCAATAAATGAAGCAGGCAACCATTAAGACTTCTATTTCCACTAAGGTATGAAATCCCAAAGCCTGCAGCACTGATAGAAAGCACCCACTCTGCTTCAGAAGTACCTTTCTTTTGGGGCTGGGGGGGACACACAGTGCAGCATGTGGGATCTTAGTTCCCCAATGAGGGAATCAAACCCGTACCCTTGCAGTGACGCAAGACAAGTTCCCATAAGTACCTTAATGATACCAATCTGCTTGAAGTAATCAGCTACAGACTCAATTGTAACATTCTCGCCCAGCCCTTGCACGAAGATGGTGTTGTTGTCTGAATTATCCTGTTCTGCTTGCCAAACACAGCAGGAAAAGTGGAGAGAGGAAACAACCAAAGATTAAAACAAGTCAGTGACACTTAATAACCTGAACTTGAATACTTGACAGTTAGCTTTCAAAGAAAGAAAATTTCTAAACCAATTAACATAAAGTACTGGTGGTGTAGATCCAACAAATCTCCAACTCTACTTCATTATCTGAGTGCCTGTATGCTAGCCGCTTCACAAATTAAAATTTAGTTTTACAACTACCCCCTTGAAACATGTTGATATTCATAAAAGAAACCAGGGCTCAGGAGTTAATTGCCCAAGAACACACCAGTGTTTGTCAACTTTCAGTTGAAGACCCCCAAGAAACCAATTTTACACTAAGATGCAGCATACAAACATAATCAAAACAAACAGCACACTAAGTGCTTCCCTGTGTCTTTTTTGTTAAATACACTGTCAAACACAGCTACACCTGAACTCTCTTCCCCACATCTTCCTTCTCTAGCCCTCGCTCTTCTTCAGATTCCCTTAAGTTTGAACAATATCCAAGAAAAAGTCCTGCTACCACTTTAGCCTTTCTTTCCTGCCACCTGTGGACTTACCAGAGTCATGACGTGATCCTTGGTCCCGAGGGCCTTAAGTGACATAGGAAAAAAAAAAAAAGAAGAAACAAAAACAAAAAAACAAGGAAAGAGGAGCCGTTAGTTAAGAGGCTGAGAAAGACAGGAAAAAAATTAACACCAAATTCAAACTTTTGCAAAACATCAGGTAAGTGCTCACAGCCAGCCTCACTCCAAACCCTGTTCTGGGTTGCCTGCCCAGAGAAAACCCTAGGCAGGTCTGGGAAAGACACAGGCCCCTTTTCTTAAGGTCTGCATGTAACTTGAGTCCCCACAGGGACAACTCCACACTTCAGAAAATGCTGCCTCCCCCAGCTCAGGCTGGGAAATGTCCTCAGCACAGACTGGGAGGGCTAGGAGGGAGACCCATTGAAGTTAACAAACCAACTCATAGCTTGGCCCTCTTCTCTCGCCCCAGAGAGAAATGGGCTCATCACCAGCAATGTGATATGCATCCATACAGTTTCTCCAAACTTTAGCACCAGAGACACTTATCCCTTGTGGAACAATTTTTAATGTCATCTTTCGAAACAAGTCTTAAAACCATGTTGTTTCCCCCAAAAACCACATGAAAATAAAAATCATACATAATAGCTATTGTATGTTTTAAGCATGTCCCAGGGAACAGACCAGAAATCTTATTTCCGTAATGCAGCCTCTATTTTCTTTTTTTCCAGAGACCATCTTTGCCCAAAGTTTATCTGAATTCACCATATATAAATGTTGTACCCACACTCAATGACACCTAAATCATGAACCCAAGCCTTTGGCTTTACATGTTGAGACAAATCAAGAAACCTTTTGTTAGTTAACCAGACCAGAAAAGTTCCAGCTTACTGGGAGACTTCTCAAATTTGCCATTTTTCCATGAATTCAGTTTGTGCTGTTATTAAGACCTGAGAATTTCCCATGAGAGCCACACATGCTCCCAACCTTTCTTGGAAGCAGTTCACACCTTCCTGCCCAGAACTAGTTGCTATTTAGCCCATCTGAGTTGAGTTTAAATACGTGTATGTAGGATTGCATTGACACCATTCAGTATTTAATACATAAATATAAACCAACTTCACCATCCTCAGGGCAGGGCAATACTTCATCCCTCGTCCAGAATTAAAACGTTTGGAGGTTGTTAAACACACTCACGCATACACACAAGCCTCGGACACACTGATCAAAGGATCGATCCTAAAGCCAAGGTGGCATCACATGTTCCAGCACACACTCTCCACGTTCTCGTAACGGCGGTCACTAAACGCCGGGTGTGGCGAAACTCCTGTCCAGAGGCCTCCGTAACACCTCTCATCAACCTGGGTCAAACCAGTTTGGTACCAGACGACTGCTGAGTCTTACTCCCTGCCTGCCTCCAGGTCAGCACACATCTGGCAGCAGGTGGCATTCCACCCCACCCCTTTCTGGAGGTGGTTATGGACACTCCAAAACTTTTGACACTTAAAACACGCTAAGACAACTGCAAATGAACAATCAGACAAAGCATTGCTGGGAGTTGGGAATTTTGGAAACTCTGTTCACTTACCACCAAATTTATTGAAGCCACCACGGTCACTTCCGCTGGAGAAGACAAGTTAGAAGAAAGGACATGAAGCTTCCAACGGCTACAAAGGGCGGTTTTTGGTTTTGTTCAACATTCCCCAAACATAGGTAGGTGTTTTGGGAAAATGATAATGCAAGTGGCTACTAAAATACATTCCCCTTCCTGACCACCCCTTGTCTGACCTGTGAGCATGTCACACACACGTGTGCAATTTCTCAGACACAACTGTTAAGGATTTTGCTTAAAAGGTTATATATCTATTTCCTCTAGGAAAAAAAAAAAAGACCCATTTTCCTTGGTTGTTCTTCCGACGTAGCAGATGTTTTTTCCTCTTGTCGCAAGCAGTTGACAACCCAGTAGTTGGTTTAAAAAACCCTACCCCCAATTTACGCAGAAGACATTTCACACCAGGCTGGGGTAGCCCTGAACACATTTTTGTGATTTTTTTTTGCTTTGAAAGCAGCAAGCAGACCCAACCCCATTCCATAAAAAGTCAAAACCAAAGGCAATTTCCCCTTAAAGCAAGACAAAACTTAGCTAAGCCCTACCCTAACTACTGAGCTGGTTTTGATCTCTCCCCACCCCCGGGGTCACCCCTTCTACACTGCGAGAAGAGCGGAGTATTTTGCAATGTCACCTTTCATACCTGTGGCACATAAAATGCAGAGCAAGTTAACAGTCACATAACAGTTGCTTTTCTTTTTTTAAAGTTTTGCATTAAACACACGCACACAACAGAGTTTTCCTTATTTCTGTAAGGTTTTTGGCACTGCCCCCACCCCCCCTCCTGAATACTTACCATACACAAACTCTTTTTATAAAACTTACTTTTTCCCCAAAAGGAGTAACACACTGACATTCCTCCCCTTCTCGAGAGAGACAGAGAAGGGTCCCTCCAATGGTTATTTACCAACAGACAAATGCTCTAACATCAAATCTAAGGTTTTGCTTCAGCAGGAAGGGGAGCAAAGAAGGTCCAGCTGGACAAGTAACCGGAGGAAGGGGGACAGTGGAGCAAGTGAGGGGAGACCACTGTCGAGAGTACTGTACTTTGTCCAAAAGGTCTGCACACTTCAGAGAGCCCCAAGAACCAAGTCACACACGAAATCATTACAGTCCGTCAGATTAGTACAAGTCAAGCTCGTGGATTCAAGTAACTACAGAATACAGGAAGAGAGAGTAGCCAATTCCTGGAAGCTCAAGTCAGGTTAACCATTGACAACTCCTTTAGAGGACACATGGGAATACAAATAACAAGTTTCCCTATCACCAGGAGTGGGATCATTGGTTTCCCTTGCAGAGAAAGAAGCCTTTACGTCCATGTTTCTTGTCTAGGATATTAATGACTCCAATCCACATATACCCCTACATTTCTCCTTTTTCTTTACAGATGGAAGTTGTCAGTACTCAAATCTCTGTACAGAGGTGTGGGTAGAAGTTCAGGCTTCCAAGTTCTCACAAAAATAAAATGGGGATGGATGTACGAAAAAGAAACAGTCAAGATCCCAAATCAAAGTCCTCACAAATTCCCAGAATCAGACTACCCATGCACTACAGGACTAGGCTTCAAGGGAGATTCATGCAACCCCCCACCCTTCCCACTGTTGGTACACCCTGGCTCACAAGACACCTACCCCATGCCGCCTCTGCCTCCACGGCCACCTCCACGACCTCTGGGTTCATAGCCACCACTGCTGCGGTTGTAACCACCGCCACCGCCCCGGCCACGGCCCCCACGGTCCTGCTGGCCTCCCCCGTAGCCACCACTCTGGTCCTGACTGCCATAACCACCACCGCTGCCACCACTGCTCATGGAGGACTGATCTTGGCCATAGCTACCTGTCAGGAAAGAAAAGCATGCCTTTAAAAAGGACAAAACAGACTGTGAGGTGGCATAGAACAGTTCAAGAGTGCCAGGGAATAAGTGTCACTAGAAATACAGATAAAGCTAGGACACAAAATGCAAGGTTTTTAAGAACCCTTTCAGGGTAAGGGCCTAAGAGAATACAATGTCTTGCAAAAAGCAGGTATGAGACAGAGCAGAAGAAAACCTCTAACCTCCGCCACCCCCTCCACCACCTCCACTGCCACTGTTGTACTGGTTCTGCTGTCCGTAGCCCTGAGGGGGGTTATAGCTTTGCTGCTGTCCATAGCTTTGCTGCTGTCCACCATAGCTAGACTGCTGGCCATAGCCTCCACTCTGGGGCTGCCCATAACCGCTGCTTTGAGAACTGCCACCGTAACTAGGGGAAAAGAAAAAGACAAAGAGTCACAATGCCAGTGTGTCCAGACTTCACTTCTGGTACATCCCATTCTCTGTCCCCAACAGAGACCACCACTGACCCATTACCCCTCATAGTTACTCCTACTGCTGATCACATTATCATTCCTTACAGATTCACCCCTAATGTTTTCAGTCCTCTCCACACCCACTCCTTACCTTCCTGAGGTGCTGCTAGGAGCTGGCTGCTGGCCATAGCCAGGGTACGAGGACTGTTGCCCGTAGGACGACTGAGAACTCTGGCTACTGCCATAGCCACCAGCTGAGCCATACCCCTGGGGAGCTGACTGCGCGCCGTAGCCTGCTACAAGGAGAGGAGAAGTGAAGTCACAAAAGCTATGAGGAAGACAACAGGCAGCGAATGCATTGAGACCACCACTGTATACCACTAATGCTTCCCATACGTGGTAAGTTAACCTCTTATAAGATGCTTGGCAATCTTGCAACTCATAGCTAAAGAGATTACCTTTCTACCTGAAAGCTGTGTTTAAACTTCTACTCAAGTTCTGAGTTCTAATCTCATCCCACACACCCCCAAAGCCAGCCTTCAGGACCACCACTAGTCACAGCCCAAGAGATCTCTATTCACTAACAGCACTTTAACCTCCCCAACCATGTGCACAACAAATAAAAACAACATGTTACTATTTACACTTCAGGGATCTCAGGGCAAATTCCACCTCCTGGTATATCATGTGATGCCATCTGACTTCAAACATCTTCAAACAAGTCATTTTCCCTCTTTAAAAACCTAAAGCATTGCTCCCTCTAGAGAATATTCCTCCCATCTTTATTTCACTTTCATGCTTAGGAGAAATTGGGAAAATAGCAGCATAAACAGAAAAGTAAAAAGTCACAGAAAATAAAAGGAAACAAGATTACAAACCAATTAAGTCTTTTTGTTTGAAAGGACTCAAAACATCAAAGAGCTTTAAGGGTCCAAGACTGGCAAGGGGAACTTTTCAGCACTGTTTAGGTTTAAGAAAAGCAACATTCACAAAGAGCAGAAGAGGTGGGGTGACCCACTAAGACTCACTGTTCTGGGTCTGTCCATAAGAACTACCGTAGCTGCTCTGGCCATAACCCGAAGTGTCCGCAGACTGGCCATAGCCACCGTAACTCTGCTGCCCATAGGGCTGACTGCTCTGCTGGGAGTAGCCCTGCCCAGGCTGAGATGGGTAGGCCCCGTAGCTGGAGAAAAAAACAGTGCTCTCAGGAAAAGAAACCTTAGCCACCCTCGCCCTCTACAAACTCTGGAAGCGCAGAAAGGAGACTCACCTTTGGGTTGCTTGTTGGGTATAGTCTGCAAAAGAAAAACACGATTATATTACCTTCAGCCATTCCTCAGAATAGACTAGAGCTAAATAACTTAAGCTTCGGCAACCCCAGGTAAGAAAATCAACAAAGGAGGCATAAATTCCCTCATGAAACTCTACTGGCGAGGGGCAGTCTGCGAGATCCCAGTCAAGTTTTCTTACAATAAAAAACACAAAAAGCGCATTCCCACAAAACCAAGAAAGAAGCCTTAAGTACTTGAAAAAGCAAGAGTGCTAACAGACAGCAGCAACTGTCCGCAACTTCAATCGATGTCAGGAACTGCAAAGATTTACACATTTCTTTCTCACGCCCCCTCGAGGAGGAACACATGGCCAAGAGTTAGGCTGAAATCACACAGCTGTTTCAGCAAGCCAGAGGCAGAACTGTTCCGAAAGGAGCCTCCGCTTTCTCAATCCGAAGAACAAGAATATCTCACAAAAGGCCACGCTTCACCCTTTGCCCCATCTTGGAGCCTGGAAATGGGAGCTTTTGGTGCAAAGCCAGCTAACCAAGGGAAGAGAGCACTCGGATCAGCACGTTGGCTGGTACTCAAGCCCCCAGCCCTGAGGCTCCCAAACGAGTGCGTTTTCCTATCCCCCTTGCCTTAACTCGGGGGCGGGAAGACTAGGCGAATCCAAAGAAGCCAAAGTGCTTTTTAAAACGCCACATGGAAGACGCACGGGCCTGATCGGCTCATCTCGATACAGGAAACGAGGCGCTTCCCCCGCAGGAAAGAGCCAGAGCACCGAGAGAGGGTGTGGCCTCGGGCGGCCGTTCTTTTCAGTTCCCACCTCGGTAAAAGGAAATTTAGGCGGGAAAGGCCTCGGGCCCGGTCCTCAAGACCGTTAGATCACTCCCCAGCCCCCCACCCACAGCCGTTAAGCGGGCGCGCGGCCCCGACCCCGAGCCTCCGCCCCCGGCCGCGTGGCAAGTGAGGCGGGAACGAGACGGTCCCGCCCCTTCCCGAGGGACCCCGGGGGCGCGGCCCACACCGGACGCGCGCCGCGGAGCCTCCAGTCGAGGGTCTCGCGACAAAAAGCAGGGCCGAAATGAGACCGGAGAGGGGGAGGCGGTTCGCGCCGCCAGAAAGGGGGGAGGGGCTAGCAGAGCGCGTGCGCGCTCCTCCCAGTGCCCGGATGCAGCACTGCGACAAAGCGGGCCCGAGCGCGCGGCTGGGAACGTAGGGGCGAAGCGGGTACGGAGACCGAGCATTTCCATCCGTGCCTCCCATTCCCAATCAATAAGCCGCGTCCCTCCCAATCCTCACCTCAAGGAAGGGGGCAGCGAAGGGACGACCTCCCGCCCCACGCGAGGAGCCAGAGGAGCAAAACAAAATGGCGACATCGGCCTCCCCCTTCCACCCCTCTCCGCTGCTTCCAGCCAGTGGTGCGAGGAAAAGATCCTGCACTCGATAGCCGCTCGGGTCCCACCGAAAAACAAAAGCCGGACTGGGAGGGAATGAGGTCCGAGGCCGGCGCGCCACGACCGCCTCGCGCCCTTACATACCGTTTGAGGCCATGTCCGCGCACGCGCGCACAGGCCGACAAGCAACAAGGTTCCAACACTACAGAGCACCGACGCCTCGAGGACTGAGCAGCCCCGCCTCCTGCGTCGAGGTTTATGTACGCCTCCCCGCCTACGTCTCCCGGGGGGCTGTACCAACTACGGAAAGGAAAGGGGGAATCATGGACGGACTCCTGGCACGCTTCAGGGAATATAGACGATCCTAGCAGGAAGAAAGGAAATGTATTAACTAAGAACCGTTCGGATCATATAGATAATCCTGTTTTTTCTGACAAAGAACTATTTGCTTTGCAAGACTAGCCCACGTTTCACCTCCGCCCCTATGATGGCATAATGGTACGATCCGATTAACCCCTGGGGGCGGGGCAAGGGGCCCAGGGCTTCTGCGGGCGGAACTGTAGTCAAAGCCGGGAGTCGTGGGGCGGGAACCGAAATTCCTCAGGCTGACCCCTTTCACTGGGCCTCACTTTCACTCAGGGTGTGGAGTTCTTGCGTTCCGTTCCCCTTCCACTCTTTCAGACGCGAACTCCCTCCGGCACATCCTCCCTCTCTGGCTCTGATGTTCCTCCCAAGTCTCGGTTTTCACTCATCGTCTTTCTGGCTTACATCTCCTGAGTCCTTATCAGGGTTTGTAGATTGTGACTTTTGACATGAAAGAAATAAAGCAGGGAGTTTAGCCCGGACCCTTCAGTCCTAGTCTGGTCAAGCACTGATCGCCCACCCAGCGTCCTCAAGGCTTGACCCCTGACCAGCAGTTGGACGGGAAAGTCCAAACCCTCCGGATCTCACAAAGAGCGTTGAGATTAGATCAGATATCTCCCACCCTTTCACAGATATTTTCCTGAAACTCTATCAAGAGACCAATGTGGGGATCCAGTAGTAACTGATATTTGTATAGAGCTGAAGTGGTTTCAAAATGCACATAAATGCTTTCCCAGCACAGTCTTATGAAGAAAGTAAGCTATCCCCGTTTTATAGATAAGAAAAATAAGACTCGGGCCAAGTACAATCCGTGATTATAGAACAGGGATCCTGATTCGATTCCAGGTCTGTGCAGCTGCAGAACACTCCTTTTGTTGGTTATAGAAACACTTTGCAGTGTTCTGAAGTCTTTTCATTCTCTGTGAGAACAAGGACAAAACGTGAAATTCAAATTAACTTGCAACTTGCACTCTAGTCAGCCTTGCCTAGAGAAGGAAATTTGAAAGTATCTACTAAAACAAGACAAAGGAGGTTATTCCTGGTACATGTGCCATACAGATTTTCCCTCCCAATTTACCTTTGACCTGAGTTACCAGAACTTCGTTTGTAGGTTAGACACGTTCTCCTAGAGAAATACTTGTGGACTATGCCCACAAACTTCTAAATTTCTGATTTATGCCCTAATGGCACTTGAACACCCTGTCACCCACCCCACCCTTACTGAAAGGGCACTGTAACACTAAAATGAGGACAAACAGAGGGAATTCCATCATTCGTTCACTCATTCATTCTGCAAATACTTAAAAAGTATCTACAGAGTTCCAGGGACTGTTCTGAGTAACAAGGATGCTTTAGTGTATAAAATAGATGTAGCAATTTAACAAAGATAACATCTAATAATAATAATATTTATAGGGTTTCCAAATCCACCTGCCAAGGAGAAGATACGGATTTGATCCCTGATCTGGGAAGATTCCACGTGCATCGGAGCAGCCAACCCTGTGCGCCGCGACTATTGAGCCTGTGCTCCAGAGCCAGGAGCCATAACTACTGAAGCCGTGTGCCCTAGAGCGCATGCTCCCCAACAAGAGAAGCCACTGTTGTGAGAAGCCCATGCACCATAACTAGAGAGCAGCCTCCACTCGCCACAACTAGAGAAAAGCCTGGGCACAGCCAAAAATAAATAAATACTAATAATAGTTATATAGAGAACATATTTATAATATAGCACTTTGGTAAGACTTTTTGAGTATTAAGCACTGTTCTGAGTGCTGAGTATAGCTTGTTTAATTTTCTTCTTCACAGTAAAATGTTGACCTGAGGATTACATTTTACAGATGAACAAATAGGAATGGAAAGGTTAAAAACTGTGCCCAGGGCTACACAGAAAGTGGAAAAGCTTGGGTTCCTAGCCCAAGCAACCTGGCTCAGAATTTCTGCCCTTAACTCCTGTGCTTCAGCAAACATCGCCTGAGCACTGCGTAGTATGTACCAAGCCTGGGGCAGACCTAGAGAGGGAAGGATCAAAAAGGACCTTATAGTCTGTGGGTGAGATGCGGGTGAGACCCACCGAATCCAAAGTGTACTTGGACCAAACGTGGTAAGTGATGTGAAGTGAAATCAAGGACTCTGGAAACTTCCCGAAGAGCAAGTTATCCATCAAGTAGACAGCCACAGAAGAGGAAAGAAAGGTGGAAACACTGGAGCCAGGATAAGGGGGAGTTCACGAATCAGCCCAGGAAGTGCTGGAACAGGCAGAAGGGATGGTGGGGAAGAGCTCTGAGAGCAGCACGCTAGGGAGTAGCAGGCTCCAACTGTGACCTCTGAAACGCTCCCTCGTGTGGCTCTTTCTCCAGGCTTATCTCTCTCGGTGAACCTCTTCTGAGACAAGGGGGCCTCTCACTTCTCCTTCAAAGCCTCCTTACTGGCCATCCCTGCTCCCGCTCCCACCTTTCCCTTTGGCCATTTAGTTTCTTCCCTGCCTTCTCCTCCTCTGCCTGCCCTGCAGATAGCAGTGAACCCCAGGACTTCAGAGTTCTGTCTTTTTTTGCTTCTCCCTAAAAGCCCCAAATGCAGTCTGGTGGTGTGAAATGCAGGAGCCCTCAGACTGCTTCTCTGTAGCCTACATGTTGTTTTTAATTTTTAAAATATGTACTTATTTGGCTGCCCAGGGTCTTAGTTGCAGCACTCGGGATCTTTGATCTTAGTTACGGCAGGTGGGATCTAGTTCCCTGACCAGTGGCCTTCTGCATTGGGAGTGAGGAGTCTTAGCCACTGGACCACCAGGGAAGTCCCTCAAGCTTGAACTGTTAACTTTTTCAAAAATGTGGTCACCCCCTATGATAATCCCTTTCTGCTTAAACTAAAATAAATCGTATCATCTGCAACTAAGAACTCCAATTTATACCATTGTCACTGCAGCAAGGTTTATATATTAAAATATTAGAAACCATCTAAATGCTTATCAACAGAGAATCTGGTTAACTGAGTTATTATGCAGCAAAATTTCTCAGTCTCAGCACTATTGGCAATTGAGGCCAGAAATTCTTTGTTGTGAGGACTGTCCTGATATTGTTTCAGTTCAATTCAGTTCAGTCACTCAGTCGTGTCCAACTCCTTGCGACCCCATGGACTGCAGCACACCAGGCTTCTCTGTCCATCACCAACTCCCAGAGCTTGCTCAAACTCATGTCCATCGAGTTGGTGATGCCATCCAACCATCTTATCCTCTGTTGTTCTCTTCTCCTGCCTTCAATCTTTCCCAGCATCAGTGTTTTTTCCAGCGAATCAGTTCTTTGCATCAGGTGGCCGAAGTATTGGAGTTTCAGCTTCAGCATCATTCCTTCCAATGAATATTCAGGACTGATTTCCTTTAGGATGGACTGGTTGGATCTCCTTGCTATCCAAGGGACTCTTAAGAGTCTTCTCTAACACCACAGTTCAAAAGCATCAATTTTTCAGCACTCAGCTTGCTTTATAGTCCAACTCTCACATCCATGACTACTGGAAAAACCATGGCTTTGACTAGATGAACCTTTGTTGGCAAAGTAATATCTCTGATTTTGAATATTGTTTGTTGTTGTTTACTGTGTATTGTTTATTGTTGTTTAAAACCTAAGTCATGTCCAACTCTAGCCTACCAGGCTCCTCTGTCCATGGGATTTCCCAGGCAAGAATCATGGAGCGGGTTGCCATTTCCTTCTCCAAAGGATCTTCCCAACCCAGGGATCAAACCGGGGTCTCCTGCATTGCCGGCAGACTCTTTACCATCTGAGCTACCAGGGAAGTCCTGTGTTTGGTATGATATTTAGCAGCATTCCTGGCCTTTACCCACTTTGGATGTTTGTAAAAACCCCAGTCCTAATAACCAAAGTCTTCTCTTGACTGGAGAGGGTGGGATACAAAGTCACCCTCGATTGGGAACCACTGTGATATAGCTATACCATGAGATTAAGAGAATTAGGTGAGGGACTTCTCTGCTGGTCCAGTGGTTAAGATTCCATGCTTCCATTGCGGGGGGTGCAGGTTCGATCACTAGTCAGGGAACTAACTGAGGTCCCGAATACCTCGCGTCGTGGTATGGCCAAAAATTTTTAAAAAAGAAAGAAAGATGGATCTAAGTGTACCAGACACCACACCTTGAGACAATTTTCTAAATGAGGTGGATCTAAACCCACAGATATAAAGACTATTTAATCTCTATTATTAATGGGAAGGGAGGAGCAAGTACTAAACAATATATCTGTAATATATTATTTAGGTTTTAAAGTAAGCGTTACTGATGTACATGTTTGTTTATGCATAAAATATCTCTGGAAGAAGAAAAACAAACTAGTAACAGTGGTTATTTCTGGGAAAAGAATATGTGAAACTTGGGATTGAACGTATGAAGAAAACTCACTTTTCCCTGGATCTTCCTTTACCTTTTAATTAAAAAAAAATTTTTTTAATGTATTTATTTGGCTGCACCAAGTCTTAGTTAGGGCATGTGAGATCTAGTTCCCTGACCAGGGATGGAACCCAGGCCTCCTGCCTTGGGAGTACAGAGTCTCAGCCTGCTAGACCACCAGGGAAATGTATATTGACCAAAAAAGAGATTGACTCTTACAAAGTGACGAAGCAGTAGGTGGTAAGAGGATATTGCAGGGTGAGACCAGTGGTGGGTAGTAAAAGGGTATTATAGGAGGATTCGTTTGGCAGTGGTGTGGAATGGATAGGCTGTCTGTGATGACTTTTCAGTTGGGAGTTTACCAGATGAACAAGGCATTTATCAGCCCAAGAATGACAGGAACA